TAAAGAACTAGAGTTAAATAAATGTTTACTGAAGTTTTATGCTCTTAAGATGCTCCTTGCCTTAGGGGTTTTCATGAAGAATTTCTAAGTCTGTGTGAGGGTTGACATGGACTGTAAATGATCAAGATGACACAATAAGAGACCCACGGGTGTGTTTAGAGAATGGACTGGAAATGAGCTTGCTGCACATATTAGCTGACTCAGGCTAGACATTTTTCTATATAAGAAGTCATTTTGGCTGCCTTGTTCCCATTCATTGGATTGATAACTTCAATCTCTAACATATGAATAGATATACTTTTATGTAATATAAATAAGAAAATCTGAGGGAATACTTAATAGTATTTTGGGAAAAGGTGTCATTTGGAGTAGCCAAACATTTTATTCTGACCATTTTGGTATTGTTCTACAGGAATAGATCAATGTGTCTCTTTATACCAATTTAGAAACAGTTCTGAGTCTCCCTCTTGAGGCACAAATTCTGTAACTCCTTGAATTTCAGCTGATCTTACTCTTGGGGCAAAGAGGCACATGTGCAGAGGGAACATGGCTGGTTGGAATGCTCCAGTGGGAAATCCAGAAACTCTGGCAATCACCAGTCTAGTAAAGAGGACAGAGGTTTTAGGAGGGGACAGAGTGTGTGTTTTGTGTATGTGTGTAGTGGGGGGAGCTATAGGGTTTGAACTCAGGGGCTGGCACTATCCCTGAGTTCTTCTACTCAAGGCTAGCACTCTACCACTTTGAGCCACAGATCCACTTGTGGTTTTCTGATGGTTAATTGGAGATATGAATCTGATAAAACGTCCTGTCCGGATGACTTTGAACCATGATCCTCAGATCTCAGCCTCTTGAGATACTACAGATGTGAGCCACCAGTGCCTGACTAAATGTCTCTAGCATCTTTTGCTGAAAGCTAGCACCCTACAATTTGAGCCACAGCTATACTCCTGGCCTTATTTGGTAGTTAATTGGAGATAACAATCTCACAGACTTTATTGCTCTGCCTGTTTTGAACTGCAATCCTCACATCTCAGCCTCCTGAGTAGCAAAGAATACAAGCCTGAGCCACGGGCATGGAGTTCAAACCATTTTTATCTAGCCTATTGGTGATGGAGAAGACTCATTTACTCAAGAATGTAAAAAAATAAGGATATTGATGATGATTATAAGTCTGAAAGAAAATGGTTAGAATTGTAACAGGAAAAGCTAAATTCTAAATTTGCAATTTTCTGTATCTACTAGTGCCTCTACGTGTTGATTCACATATGGTTTAAGTTTCTAAAGGATTCCTGGGAAAAAGACATTGTAGCTGTTTTATATCATTCAGAGATTAATGATCTGTGTGATTTTTTTTGTAATTTTTTCTCCTCTCAAACTTAGTATTGCTTTCCTCAGTTACATTTCTATGCTAGTTTCTGCCCACATTTTACGCCATGAAAATTTCCAAACTAGAAGATTCTATACATTTATTCTTATGTATTCTTATAATAAAGAGGCAACTCCATTTTAAAGATCAAGAAATGTAAAAATATGTGTTGATGCACCTGCTTTTCATTTCTTTCCACACAAATTCCCATTTGCCCGGTACGGGAAAACTGAAAGTCATGTCCTCATTTAACTAGGAATCCTCATCTGAGAATTGCATAGGTTTGGATCATCAGTTACGAAGATGATTTGAGTCCACTTTGCTCAACACACTGCTAGACCACCTTACTCAGATACAAATGTAGCAATACTTTTCATATTGGCTGGAGATGTTTTACATATATTTTGCTAAGTACATGGGTTGTGGAGGTTCGTGTTGTGGAGGTTTTCTTGGTGTGGACCAATTTGTCTTCTTCCCACTCACTTGCCCATAGTTCCTATTTTTATCACCTTTAAATTTTAATTACTGTATTAAGGCTTTATAACTCATCAGGGTGGGAGAATTTTGCAAGTATGATTACTTTAATACATTTCCTGACAAACCAGGATATAGACTTTAATTTTGATAAGTATAGGTCAGTAATTAAATCAGGAAGTAAACCAACTGAGTAATCAAACAAGTTATATATAAATATATAGTGTAGTATTATATATAATTGAATGTTTTTTGTTTTTTTTTTTTTTTTTTTTTGGGTCCGGTCGTGGGGCCTGAACTCTGGGCCTGGGTGCTGTCCCTCAGGTCTTCAGCTCAAGGCTAGCACTCTACCACTTGAGCCACAGCGCCACTTCCGGCTTTTTTCTTATGTGGTGCTGAGGAATCGAACCCAGGGCCTCGAGCATGCAAGGCAAGTGCTCTACCACTGAGCCACCTTCCCAGCCCTAATTGAATGTTTTTTAAAAGTATGAGTGACATATAGTATTTTGAGTCTCAAAATACAATATAAAACACATTGGGGAAACTGATATACCACGGATTATTAGATGAATATACACGTGTGTGTATGTGTGTGTGTGTGTGTGTGTGTGTGTGTATCTATCTCTCAAGTCAACATAATGAAATTCATTAAATGCTGTTTGAAAAAGGGGTTATGAGCTGGTCAACTTGCCTCAGCTCTGTGATCCCAGTTATTCTGGGCTTCGTTCTGATTTCAGCAGCTTTTACCCTTGATCGTTAGATCCTGAGGAGGAGGAGGCCTGGAACCCTCCAGGGGAGCAGAGACACACATGCGCAGTGGGCAGACGGCTGGTGCGCATGCTCAGACTGGAGATCCAGCTACTCCGGGACCGCCCTTGCAGCGTGGAGGAGAGAGACGGGTCCGGAGCGGAGCCAAGGCCGCGCTGAGGCCCCGTCACGGGGAAGCGATGCGGAGGGGCAGCCGTGGGGAAGGGAGGCCTCCCGGGAACCCCCGCCCGTCCCTGTGTGCCGCGGGAGCCTGGGGCGTCCTTTCTGGGGCTCAGGCCTGGCTGTCGGCCCGTGCGGCCTCGGCGGCCTCGTGGCTCCTGGCGCCGCCGTGTTTCCCGCCAGGCCGGGCGGTGATCCTCCTGGGCCCGGCGGGGCCCCGAGGCCGGCGGGGCCCGGAGGCTGGGGAGACGCCACGACGCGGTTTGCAGGACGACGTGGGGTTGGCCGCAGTGAGGCGAGAGGAAGGTCAGCGGGGTTTGAGCTAAGTTCGTTATTCAGCTCAAGGCTGCTTCTTTATCCATTCATCCTTTAATGTCCATTTGAGTTTGTGTGATCTTCCTGGTTATTATAAATAATGCTACCAGGCACCAGGACTACAGCTCAGAGCTGTAGTCCTACGACTAGCTGCTCAGCAGGCTGCGATGTGAGGATCAAGGTTCAAAGCCAGCCCAGGCAGGAAAGTCCATAAGACACTACTCTTTTGTCAGTCATGGGGCTTGAACTCAAGGCCTGGGCACTATCGTTGAGCTCCTTTGCTCAAGGCTAGTGCTGTTCTACCACTTTGAGCCACAGCGCCACTTCCGGTTTTTGAGTTGGTTAATTGGAGGTCAGATCTCTCTGGGACTTTTCTGCCTGGTCTGGCTTTGAACCACGATCCTTAGATCTCAGCCTCCTGAGTAGTTAGGATTACAGACGTGAACCACCTGGCTCCGTAAGACTCATCACAATTCTGAGATCTAGTCATTTTTCTATCTTTCACTAATTATTTTTATTGTGCCAGTGCTTGAGCTTGAATTCAGCTCCTGAGCACTCTCATTTAGCTTTTTTGCTCAAAGACTGGTGTTCTACCACTTTGAGTCATAGTTCTACATCTAGATTTTGGTGATTAATTAGGTATTAGACTCTCCACTCTTGGAAGCCCATATCCGGGCATCTCACTAGATCTAAAGTGGCCTGCTACCAGCTTGATAGAGGGCAAGGAGGATCAGTGGAGATGACATCATTCATGAATTTTGGTAGGACCACTTGAGAATGTCATTATATATAATACAAATACTAAATATGATGTAAGGTTGCTGCTAAAAATCAGTTGATTTCTTTTGTTGTTGACAATAGGCTCAGATTCTTGGGTATGCTAGGCAAGCACTGATATTGAGCAACTTAGATGTTTTTAATTGCCTCTAGCTAATTTCAAGAAAGGATCTAGCAGGATGTCAGGCATGGGTTAAGTGTGGTGTAAGGAAATAAACTACTGTGTATCTGCCAAGTAGATGTCTTTCTACTACTACTATCAGAATCCTAAGGGTCTTACATTTCACTGCTCTCCTGAGAACTCTGCAGAAAAAGAATGATGGAAGGAAATAGTGTAATGGATGCAAGCTCCCCATTTCTAGTAGATCAAGAGTGCAAAGTCTTTTATGGTGAACAAAGGAGAGATGGTGGACAGGGAATGCAGAGCAGGGTAGGGTCTAGGTAGGGCTAGAAGCAGACTTCTTCCTCTTCTCTTTTCTAATAGTCAGCCTTGGCTTATGCTTTGGCCACCTGTGGACAGCATCTACATATCCTTGCTAGAGAACCATGTAACATGTTCAGCCAGTCAGCACATATCATATCAGTTGAGGAGAAAAGGGTCCAAGAAAGAGGTCTCTCTTTAGAAAAGTTAGAATAATGTGAAAAAAGTAGGTCATTAAAAGATTAGGAAAAGCATATTTAAAAGTCTTGGAATAAATTTTCACCTGCTCAGTTACAAGGCTGGGGCTTACCTCCTGCTCAGTGAAGCCTTATACTGACTCAGTCAGAGGCCAGGGATCAAGGTAAACAAGACTGAACACAAGGTCTCAGTGGTGGCATTGAGATCCTTGTGAGGAACCCTTATTCCAGTGGTATTCAGTATTGGACACTTAGCAACTTTCAGACCCTGAGGAGTATAACGTATGCAGTGACCCACTGACTGACCCCTGAACTAAGGCAAATAGGCAACCAATGCCCCAAGGAGAGCCACGGCAAGAATGATCAATAGTTCCATGAGATCTTGTGCTGAACCTCATATAGCCCTGAGTATGTAAGCATCATGAATCCTCAATGCCTTCTTATTCAATTAGTAAAACATTCCAGATATCTGTGAATCAGATTCATATGTCACACAATGTATCAAATGGTTTACAAATATTCTTTTTATTTCTAGCCATTTCATTACAACCATCCATGTAGGGACATCTCCTACATGTAACTCTACCCCCTCTAGAAATTCAGATTCAAGTTATCATTCTATATAATATGTCTCCCCAAAGATCTCAACAACTGTGACCTCTATGCTTTTTTTCTAGAAACACATTCTGAGCTTCAGTGCCCATTTGCCTGAACAAAGCTAAGCAGGCAGGACTTAGGGGCTCAGCTCACAGAAGGTACTGAGACCACAATGACAGCAGGGGTTGGGACCAAAGCCATCCATATTCGGCCTCCCTAACTCATGCAACATCCATTTCAGCGTGTTGTGCAGTTGAGCGAGTCTCCCCAGTTGAAGGGTACCTGGGACATCTTCATAACTCTCCAGTGGGGCAGGATATATCATGTGGCATAGCTTGCTCAGCCTAGGGTTCTGGTGGAGGTTCTTTAGCATGGCCATGGAGATTGGGTTCCCACAGAAGTCAAAGGTCATGAGCTGGGAGCAGTGACTCAGGACAGGTAGAATGGCAGTGAGCTGAGGATCTGTAATTCCACACTCACTTAAGCTAAGATGCTGGAGGGTGGCAGAAACTCTTTCTAACAGAGCTTGGAGGGACTCAGCACGTATGCTGGTCATGTTAACCCTGGTTAGATTAAGGTTCTTTAGCTCACTGATTTGGGGACACTGGGAGAGATGTATCAAATCTGACTCCAAAAGCAGGCAGTTGGTGACAGAGAGGATCTTCAGGTGGCACCTCAAGTACCTGAGGAGAGACAGAACAGTTACTGCTGGGTATTGGTGGTGCTCGGTGGCAACCTGTAGGCAGGACCCAGGCCTCAAGCAGGGAGAGGCACAGAGCAGAAGTTTGTGTGATGGTCTGCCTCCAGGATGTCACATTGAATTCAAGAGTTGCAATTAAACAATTCAGCGGGTAGCTGAAGGTTGTTCTCCATTGTTTTTGCTGTTTGACAGTGTCAAGAACATGAAATCACAAACACATTCTTTGTTCATCTGCTGAGCATAGTAAAACCTATACTTCTTAGGAATTGTGAGCACAAACCAAAATGACAAAAAAAAAAAAAAAAAAAGCACACAAAATAGCCAGAACCTATGTCATGTCATGGCAAGGAAATTTAGTTTCTGCAATATAATAGAAAAGCTTTACAGTTAACAAAACAAAAAGAAATAATAGCTACTGGAAAACACAAAGGATAAACTTGGGCAGAGTCAGCAAAGATCAAAGGGGCTGCTAGACTACTGGGGGCAGACGAAGGTCCTTTTGTGATCAGCAAACAACCTATCACTGCTCAATTCTTCACTCTTCTTCCTTACCCCTCATCTTCAGAATCGTACCTTTACCACATACTCGTTTCTATGGAGTTTAAAACACTTTATAGACAGGAATGTAGTGGTTTGAAGGGACAGGCTCAATCTCAATATGGATGAGATTTAGTTTACTAACTAAAATCCAAAGTTCAATGGGCTTTTCTTTCTTTGATGGCTTCCTCACTTAGTTTTAAGCATTTTGACTTTGAGTCATTTCCTGAGGAAGAATTCTCAGAGCCAACCATCTGAAGCTAAATCCCCCTTTCGGTGTTTTTTTTTTTTTTTAAAAATAGGACTTTCTGTTTTCTATTCAACATTATAATTCTCGTTGAATTCCAGCCCTCACTGTGCTATTAAGAAGCAGTATCAGGTGGGATCTTAGGGGATGATTAGAGCTCTACTCTCAACCATGGTTAATCAAATTATATAATGAGTGCATTAATTGGCAATGGGTTATTTCAACAGTAGGTCTACTATATAAACTGGTATGGGGACTTTACCACCACTTTTTTCTGTTCATTTTTTTTTTTAGATGATTTCTCACTGTGTAACTCAAGCAGGCCTTAAAACTTGCCATGTTGAGCTTCGTACCAGTGGCTTATGTCTATAATCTTAGTACACAAGAAGCTGAGATCCGAAGATCAAGCTGAGATCTGAAGATCAAAGTTCAAAGTCACTCAGTGCAGGAAAATCTGTGAGACTCTTATCTCTACTTAACCACCACAAATAAAAAATGGAAGTAGAATCGATGTTCAGTGGTTATGCTTGAGCAAAAAAGCTCAGGGACAGCACCTAGGCCTTGAGTTCAAGCACACACACCCATACACGCACCCCATGTAGCCCAGGCTAACACTGATATTACTGCTTCACCCTCCCAAGTGCTCAAGTTACAGACATGTATCACCATGTGTAGTTATGTCTCGAATATTTTGATTTTCCCATAGGTGGTGAATCGCTTTGGAACTCTGCTAGACAAAAGGTCATTGCTAGATGTAGCTGCTCAACCTTGGAATAGAATTATGAGTCAAACTAAATTGCTTTTCTTTATAATTTATCCTCTGTTCTACTATCAGCAATAGAAAAGAGACTAGGATACACTTCAACTTCTAGTTAAATAGTACCTTTACTTGTATACTTATTTGCTACCGTACTTGGGACTAACAAAATATGTTGATTCCTTGGGGTTATTCATGCTTGCATAGTCTGTTCTAGGTAGAGACATTCCCATTATTTTACTTGAAATTAAGAAAGGCTTCCTCTGGTCTACAGAACAAGGTAGCCATCTCTTACCTGAGAATGTGGTTCAGGCAGCCTGCCACAAAAGACACAGAATCAAAACACAGCTCCTGGAGGTGAGGCAGATTGAGTAATTGTGAGCGGAACTGGTTGACATACATTTTCTTTTCCTCCAGGGACGTGTAGGGATAAGTGTGGTTGTGGGAGAAGAGGAGTCTGTGCAGATTACTCATCTGGCCCAGGTAAGGAGCAAACATCCCCAGGGTGGACAATTTCCAGGATCCACGCACTTCCAATTCCTGGAGTGAATCCAGCTGCACCACTTTCATGATCCTCTTAATATTTTGGAAGGGAATTGGTAAAATGCTCAGTTTCTTACAATGTAGGTATAGTAAACCTTTCTTCTGCTTGACCTTCCTAATGAGAGAGGTGAGCAATTGGTCATACATGCCGTTCTTTAGATGCAAGTCTACAAGTACCTCTATGCGACCCAAAGGCTGTTTGGCCCTCATCCTGGAACCATCCACATTTGCCTTTGTCTTCATCAGCTGAACATCCTCTCTCTCCTTCAATGAGCACAGACCAGTCCTGGTTCCAGACCATATGGTCCAGTAGTTCTGATGTGTTTTCAGGCGTAAATCCAGCATTTGTAATTTCCACCGCCTGTGAGGAAAAACAGAAATTAACGCAAAGTGACAGCAGGAGTCTCAGATCCAGGCAAAGAGCAAATGACATCAATTGCTCCATTCTTCGTGGAGGCCCTGCTCTTTACTCTACATTGTCCCCTCAGATCCTTCCTGGTACCTGCTTCTTCTCTCCCTTACTTTTACAGTGCTAGGGTTTGAATCCAGGGGTTTGAAAGTGTAAGGCAACCGTTGAGTTATGGTGATATACCTTCAGCTTCTGCTTTTCATAACTTCAACTACACTAGGAGAGAATGAATATATGTTCCTTCAGTCACCTGGGCATTGTCTGGTGGCCCATTCCCTGTCTGACATTAGCATTTGTTTCCTGAGTGTCACTGCCCAAATGCCTTTCTATATGCCCCTCACCCCAGCTGTGTGATGCTCAGGATCCCAGTGCTTTTAGGCTGTAGGTCTTCCTCACCTGGGGCGAACCTCCTGAGCCAGCAGCTCATCAAGTCCGTTGAGCACAGCTTGGAAGTTTTCCTGGTGAGGCTGCTGTTTCCTCATCAGGGCCCCTAGAGGAAGGCAGGCAAAGGGCCAGGCCTGCACCATTGCCTTCAGGATCTCTCTGCATCTCTCAGCATAGGCGACCATGAACAGAGGTGGGAAGATGTCCACGGGCAGCTCCTCCAAAGCAGCGATGGCCAAGGTCTCATTTTCCACTAGGCTCTGTGCAGCCAGCTCCAGAAGAGTTGGTAGGTGGTAGTACATGCTCATCCTGATGAATCTGCCCCGAAAAGATTGTTGAGGAAACAAGCATGGAAAAAAGGAAGCCTTGTCAGGCTAAACATATGAGCCACTTCATTTTCTCCCATCCTTTGGAGGAACCAACCCAGGACTAACATTGTACTAGTAACAGCAGGAGAGTCCTGCTGGACTCTATTCCATTCTTCACTCAGTGGCCACACCACCACTGCCATGATCTCTGCCAGCACCAGAACAAGCATCTGGACCAGAGCTCAGGATGCATCAAGAGTACCACTGGCCCATCCATAGCCACCCACTGCTCCTCTTCATTCTGCCACCTCTGGGAAGTGAATTCTGAGGAGCTTCAAAGCTGATCTAGCTCCTTTAGGGGGAAAAATTTGAGAGTATAGTTTTACCAAAGATTGGTTCTAGATGTGACTGGAGTTCTAGAACCCCAGTTCTTTGAAATATCTGCTGATAAGACATCTTGGGGCCTGGAAACGTGGCTCAGTGGTAGAGTGCTTGTCTTGCATGCATGAGGCCCTGGGTTCTATTCCTCAGTACCACATAAGCAGAAAAAGTTGGAAGTGGCGCTGTGGCTCAAGTGGTAGAATGCTAGCCTTGAGCTGAAGAGCTGAGGGACAGCACCCAGGCCTAGAGTTGAGGCCCCGCTACCAAAAAGAAAAAAAAAAGACATCTTGAGGTTGAGCTCAAGTCTAAAAACAAAACTCATATATGTTTTCTACAAACTTGATATACATAGGCTGAAAGTAATTTTATGTAGCACTTTAATACTTTTCTTCATGAAGAAAACTTTCATGGTATAGAATTTTTCTCTTGTGGTAGTTTTTCTCTTCCTGGTAATCAAAGTTTCAGATTTTTGGAATCATTTCTCATATTCAGGTTAGGGGTGCTTACCTGTATTAGCCAAGGACATTATCAGTGAGAATGGCACATGACACAACACAGCCTTCTTTATAAGCTCCTGCAAATAATTCAGGTAGGAAGGAAAAGGTTCAGAACAGAAGTCATACAAGAATCCTCATATGAAAAACCTACATATCCATACACAAACACACAGCCATGTACAAGTATTACCTAGCATTTGAAACTCTTAAACATTTGATATGTTTATTTTAATATCTATCACTTCTATGTCTATTACAGTTATCACTTTGAAAAGAAGTAGAGGGAAACATGTAATTCACAGCAAACACAATCTTCAATTTCATTTTCTTCAAAGTAATACTTTTGAACTGGCCACATTTGTATATGCTATGTGATCATATTCTGAAATATGTAAACAATGTAGAATGACTAAATCGAGATAATATATTGTATTACTTAACACACTCATCATTAATTTCTGATGAGAACACTTCAATCCATTCTGTCACTAATTTTCAGGTATATAGTATACTGTTACTACCTACAATCACCATGTTGTTTTGAGTTCTAATATACTAAACCTTTTTAGTTTTCCTCTAGAAGTCACTTTCACAGAAAAAGTAAAAGGAAGAGAAAATTAACAAAAAAGACTTTACTTTTTAAAATGCCATAAGTAATTAAAAGATACTTTGTTAACACAATCTAGCTTGTAAAGTCACAAAATCATAAATGTTACACAGTATAATGACTTGGTATATAATAAATATTTAATATATTATCAAGCAAAATTCCCACAGATCAGATATTTTCCTCAAAAGGTAAGATTTCATTTTAAGCGGGTTTAGTTTTAGTTCTCCTCTTGAAGTTACTTTCACAAAGACCAAAGGAAAAAAAAAGAGGAACAACAAAAACTATTTTATTTTTTGAAATACCATATGTAATTAAAAGAGATTTTTTTGTGGTAGAATGTACCTATAAATCTTTAAGTAAACACACTCGTTGGTATGCAAGCAGTTACAAATGAATTAATTGAAGTATAATAGATCCTATGGGGAGCTAAAATAATTCTTTAGTAAGACTAAGTCAGAGCTGAACAAAAGAAGTACCAGGAAATTGGTATTTGTAAGAGGGGAGCGTAAGGTCAAGGAGGAAAGTACAGAAGAATGAAGGAAGTAGGGAGAATACAGGCAAGAATACATTGTATATACCATGGAATTGAGAAAAATAAGGGAAGGGATAGGTGAAAGGGGGGTAAGATGTTGAAGGGATGACACAGATCATGATGCATTGTATACATAAACTGCTTTGTTAATGGTGAAAAATTAGATACATAACCTAAAGATTAAGAAAAGGGAAGGGAGCCAGGCACTGGTGACTCACACCTGTAATCCTAGCTACCCAGAAGGCGGAGATCTAAGGGTCGTGGTTCAAAGCCAGCCTGGAGGAAAGCCCGTGAAACTCTTATCTCCAATAAACTATTCAGAAAAAGCCAAAGTGGTGCTGTGGCTCAAGTGGTATAGTGCTAGCTTTGAGTACAAAGAGGCTCAGGGACAGCACCCAGGCCCAGTTCAAGCCCCAGGACCAGCAAAAATACTAGTAGTAGTAATAATAACATCAATAAAAGTATCTTTTGTTAAAAAAACAGAGTTAGAAAATAACTATCACCATCACCTTTTCAATGAGGTTTCAGCAGTATAATGAGTTTGGGAGGACATAAACATTTAGATGACATGGCCCTGGTCTTGTTCATCTTCTCTTGTGTTGGGCTGTATCTGTGTGCATTGTCTATGTTTGTTTCCACTTGTGTTTGCATTTTGTTATGTGTATTTGTATGCAATTACGTTTCTCATCACTCCTTGTCATTACCCTATCTCTAATATTTTTGTATTAGTGACAGAAGACATCAACTCTTAGGGTTCATAGACAATGCATGGACATGTATGGACATGTATACCTGACACTATCCAAGGATAAAGATACTAGTGGGACAAAGATAATGATCCTTGTCCCCAGGGACAAGGCAGGTTTTTTGAGAGCTGATAAGGAGTTCAGGTTTGTCTGAATTACCTTGTCTTTTGGAAGTTGAGACACTGGCTACACTCAGTTCTTCACAGGAACAGTGGGTGCCAAAGTCGTCAGCTCAGGGATCCTTTGTAGAGATCCTGTCAGAGGAAAAGACTGAAAAGGGGGACCCAAGGAGATAACCTCACTGACTTGACAAAGGACCAAGCAGAACTTGGAACTCAGGTATCCAGGCAGCCAAATTCCAGACCCAGCCCCTAGCCATTTCACTAGTGCACCAGATAGTGGAGAAAACAGGATATTCCGTTCCTAATGTCTCAGATCTCAGGAGTTCCTGAGGAAGGAGAATTGTCTATTCATGGACACACTGCCTGGCCTTCAATCCTAAAACACACACACACACATACACACACACCACTCCTAGTAGCCGGGTGCTGGTGACTCACACCTGTAATCCTAGCTACTCAGGAAGCTGAGATCTGAGGATCACAGTTCCAAGCCAGCCCGGGCAGGAAAGTCTGTGAGACTTATCTCCAATAAACCACTAGAAAACTGGAAGTGGTGCTGTGGCTCAAGTGATAGAGCACTCATCTTGAGCTGAAGAGCACAGAGACAGCGCCCAGGCCCAGAGTTCAAGCCCCATGACTGACCAAACACACACACACACACACACACACACTCCCCTAGCTATTTCCCTTTAGGGACATGAAGGTAATAGACACCCAGAGCAAGTTAACATAGGCCAGGGAGCCATTCTAACCTCTTATGGCCAAACGTGTGCTAGGGAACTACACCTTGCTCTGCCCATATGTCCTGAAGCAAACACCCTATTCTATGGCAGCAGCAGAGGAGCAAGCACACTTTTCTGGTTACCTGGACAGAGGACTATATCGGTTAAACTCCTCCTTGTGGAGAAGTTCGTATAAGGAGACATAGCTGAGCCAGACTACATCCAAGTTATGTTGGAAGTAGAGCCCATTCTTGCCTCTGTTAGAATACCTCCCTAACTCCAGCACTAGAGCAATACTTCCTTGTTCCTCTGAAAATATGTTTTATTTGTATGTTATTCTTTTTTTTTTTTTGGTCATGGGGCTTGAACTCTGGGCCTGGGCGCTGTCCCTCAGCTCTTCAGCTCAAGGCGAGTGCTCTACCACTTGAGCTACAGCACTACTTCCGGTTTTCTAGTGGTTTATTGGAGATAGGAGTCTCACGGTCTTTCCTGCAGGGGCTGGCTTTGAACCACGATCTTCAGATCTCAGCCTCCTGAGTAGGAGTACAGGTGTGAGTCACCAGCGCCCAGCAATTGTATGTTATTCTTGAGGTTTGAACTCTGCCTGGGCATAGTCCCTGAGCTCTATTTGCTCAAAGCTAGTGCTCCACCATTTTGAGCCACAGCTCCACTTCCAGTATCTTGGTAGTTAATTGGACTTTCCTGCCCAGACTGGCTCTGCACTGTGATCCTCAGGACTCAGCCTCCTGAGTAGCTAGGATTATAGGCGTGAGCCATAAGCACCTGGCCTTCATACTTCAGTCCCTCAGATCTCAGGACCCTGAGTAGCTAGGATTAGTAGTAGTAGCACCAGGCTTGTTTTACATTTCTAGAGTTTTTTAACTACTGCTGTTACTAAATTTTCATTGTAAATAATAAAAAGTAAAAAAGACAGTTTTGGGCATCCTTTTAAATACAGCATTATGAAGAGCATATCATAGTGGGTAAATGAGCTAAAAAATTCTGTCTGGCCTGTACTCTCTTAAATGTTGGGGCAGAAAAGGAGGCTCTGTTGGGCCTAATTTAAATATGATATCCAAAATGTTCTAAAATATGAAACTTTCTGAATATGTACATGATGCCACAGTTGGAAAATTCTGAATCATGAATCCTTGATGCACAAATTTAATGTATATAAAATTATTCCGGGCTGGGAAAGTGGCTCAGTGGTAGAGTGCTTGCCTTGCATGCATGAAGCCCTGGGTTCGATTCTTCAGCACCACATAAGCAAAAAAGACAAAAAAACCCGGAAGTGGCACTGTGGCTCATGTGGTAGGACACTAGCCTTGAGCTGAAGAGCTGAGGGACAGCGTCCAGGCCCAGAGTTCAGGCCCCACGACCAGACCAAAAAAAAAAAAATATTTTCAACCTACATATAACATACCTGAGTTTTGTTTTTAGAGTTGAGCCTCATCTCCAAGATACCTGCTTGCCTATAAACAGTCATTCTAATGTCTCGAATCCCAAGCACCACCTTTACCAATCATTTTAGAAAACTATAATCTCAAATGTATCCCCCACAATGCATTGCATCTCCTTGGTGTTTATTTCCTGTAGGGGCTTGAACTAAGTGCAACAGTGGGTAGCTATGGATGGGGCCAGTGGCCCTCTTGGTGCCTGCTGAGCATTGTGCCAACTTCTGCTCCTGGTGCTGGCAGAGACACAGCTGTGTTAGTGTGGTCACTGGGTGAGGAATGTATTTGGGGTAAACTGACAACTCCACTGCTGTTTCTAGAGCAATGATATATATATATATATATATAGCCCCTGAGTTGCTTCCTCTGAAGAATGGAAGAACATGAAATAGCTCATGCTTCTTTTGAGAAGGCTGCCTTGTTCCCTGAATGTTTACTTGGCATCTATTCTCAAGAGATTCATCAAGATGAGTGTATTCAGTGCACCAAGACTCCTGGAACTGGCTACACAGTGCTTGCTTTGGTCATACCCATGGCCACCCTATAGGAGCTCCTATTGCCTCTGTTCATGTCAGCCTGTGCTAGGAAACACATTGAAACCCTGAAAGCCTGCCTTTTACTGCCCCCTTCTGGAGTCCCTGATAAAGGAATAGCAGCCTCACTAGGAGACCTTCCAAGATGCACTCAATGGGCTTGAAGCACTCTTGCGCTAGAGATTTGCCAAAGGTGAGGGAGACTCAGTAGCATGGGAGGCCTGGGAACCTGAGCAAGACATGACTGAGGTCAACGGCAGAGAGAACAGAGGCTTTGGTGTAGTGCTACTAAGGAAGCCATTGCTGGCATAACTCTAGGAACAATCTACTGGACAATGCACTAGTGACTGAAAGCTTATGTGCCTATTTTCTCTTAGTAGAGCTTAAAGATATATGAAGCTGAAGTTGGAGGTGTATCTCCTTAATAGAGCAGTAGCTGAGCACTTGGGAGCGCCTGGATTCAATCCTCAGTGCTGAAGGGAAAAAAAGTACAATAAAGGAACAATAACTTCCCATCCAGGCACCAGTGGCTCACATCTATCATCCTAACTATACAGGAGGCTGCGATCTGAGGGTCATGGTTCAAAACCAGCCCTGGCATAAAAGTCTGTGAGACTCTTATCTCTAATAAACTTCTCAGAAAAAGCCAGAAGTGGCAATGTGACTCAAGTGGTAGAGCTTTAGCCTTGAGCACAAAGAGGAACAGGAACATTGCCCAGGCCCTGAGTTCAAGCTCCAGGACTGGTAAAATTAAACAAACAAACTTTTTAGCCCAATGAGCTCCCTTCCATAGCGTAGTCCACTCCTTCCCCTCTCCACAGCTTAGCATGCTCCCTTCCTAGACAACACTAGGCCCACTTAGTAAAGACCGTAAGTGATCCTCTGTTGATTTCTAAACCAGTTAGAATGCTTTTTTTTTTTTTTTGTCACTTTTAGATCATAATTTTGTCAGTTTTAAACATTTTAATGTTTAGGCTGGGTGCCAGTGGCTCACGCCTGGCATCCTAGCTACTCAGCAGGCTGAGATCGGAGGATCACGGTTCAAGGCCAGCCGGGGCAGGCAAGTCGGTGAGACTCTTCTCTCCAGTGAACCACCAGAACGCCAGTGGCGCTGTGGCCCGGGCGTTTACACCGGAACACTTTCAAGCTTTTTTTTTTTTTCAGGAGGCAGTACTGAAGTTTGAACTAAGGGCCTTGTGCTTGTTGGGCAGGAGTTCTACCACCTGAGCCACACCTTCAGCCCTACCACCGAAATGTAGAACAAAATTACGCGTTCTTCATCCTACATTGTTGTTCGGTGGCAAGTTGCCACCGAGGGGTCCTGCACTGCCCTGTCTTGAGTGGACGAGTGAGCCGCTGCAGCGCCTGTCTCCTGGGTCGGATTCGTAGTAATACCAGCAGCTGACTCTCAGCCCAGAAGGCTGCCTAGAACGCGCAGAGCCAGTCCCCGCCTAGAGCAGCGCCGGGACCGGGAAGGCAGCCCCAGCCCTCGCGAGAATACGCCCGACCTCGGAAGGTGCGGCTCCGAGCAGCGCCAAGGGACCACCAACTGTCGCGAGAATGGCTGCCGGCCCTTAATACCGCGAAAGCGCGAAAGCTCGCGAGAAGAAGAGCGGCGGCTTCGCGATGACTTGAGAGTTGCGGGAGCTTGAAGGCATGTCCTCCTGGCCGGGGCGGTCCGGGAGCCGCCTGGACAGACAGCAGGAGCGCGATGTGCGCGAGCTCATCCGGCGTGTCACTGGCCTTGAGGACGAGGCGGACCCCAACTTCCAGCTGGCCCTCAGCTTCGCCTGGTCCAATTTCAGGTGTGGGGGTGCGGCGCGCGGGCCGCCTCGTGGAGCGCGGGGCCCGGGCCGGGCTGTGTGCGGCGGGCCCGGCGGGTGGGCGGGGCCCGGGCCGGGCTGCGTGCGGCGGGCCCGGCGGGTGGGCGGGGCCCGGGCCCGGCGGGTGGGCGGGGCCCGGGCCGGGCTGCGTGCGGCGGGCCCGGCGGGTGGGCGGGGCCCGGGCCGGGCTGCGTGCGGCGGGCCCGGCGGGTGGGCGGGGCGCCGGGTGGGCGGGGCCTGCTGCGGCGCGGGGGGGGGGGGGGCGGGGGGGTGTCCTCCTGGAGCATCTTGAGCGAAAACCGTGAATTAGTGGTGGTTAGCAGGTTTGCGTCCGCCACTTTGCATACCTAAAGTCTTTTTTAGGTCTGCGACTTTTACTTTATATAACTAATGTAACAAGTTATTTTTTAATAAGTAAGTGGATTTTAAAAGCAAAAATAAGATCACACTCCATTTAAAATTGTATTCTTGACGACTCTTTCCCCTCTTCAGTCTCAGGCCATTTGCACATCTCCAGTGTCTTTTTTTAATTTGCACAAAATGTATATACAACACACCAGCTAATTTTGTCTATTTACTATTTTTCTTTTCCAGCTACACTGTAAGTAACTTAGAACAGTCCCTGGCACGTTCTGTGCTGTCACTTACTACAGGTTCTTTTGTAATTTTTATAGATAGATAATTTAAGTGGAATTAGATATTTTTCTTGGAAAATAGGAATTGTGGA